GGCCGATAAGCAGGCGGCCGCCTTTCTCCCGGGAGAGATAAGCGGAGGATGCGCCCGGGCGGCTCAGACCCCCTCCTCGCCAGGCACCGGAGCCAGGCAGGCGGGGAAAGGGTTCCCTCCTGGCAGGCCGCGGCCCCTTTCCTCTTCCTCCCCGGCCCGGCCCCGCGTGGACCCCCGTCCTCCCAGGTCCCTGATGGCCTTGGAAGCGAAGCGGGCAGGCCTGGCCAGCGCTTGGATGGGAGGCTTCCAGGCCCCTCCGAGGCCGGAGGCGGAAGACCTGGGGCCCCGCGGGGCCCTTGCAGGACAGGATCTCCGGGAGCCGCAGCGGGCGCCAGGCCCGAATGGGGGCCAAGCCCCTTCCAGTGCGGGGTCATCGGGCCTCGCTCTCTCTCGCAGGAAAGGGATTTTGCACCCCAAGCCCCCCAAAGCCCCCCCACCCCGCTTGAGAAAGGGGGATGGCCGTCCACCCCACTGGGTCCCAGCTTCCTTACAAGGGGTGCGGAGCTGGGGGCGCCTAGAGCAGACCAGAGCAACCGGCCTCCACTCCAGAGCAGAGAGGAATGGCTTCCTCCAGGTTCTCCCCATTTAAAAGGGTGCAAAGTAGAATCAGGACAACCACAGATCCAGAAAAACAGTTTAATATATTTATATAGCGTGGATTACAGATCGGGAGTAACAAGTCAACAGGAGTATGGATATTTACCTTCTATATACAGAATAAGAGTATTTCACACATACATTTTTCAACTTCTGTGTTTTCAGCCAAAGGGGTGCAAGACCAGTATGTACAATTAAGCTGCTGTGTTGAAGGGGGGCCCCACCCACCCAGAACCACAACCACCGCCCTCCCCCCCCTCCCCAAACCAATGCAAAGTCGGTGAGGCTCTTGCTAGCTAGAGAGGGACTTGGAGGACAAAGCCAAGGGAGTGGGAGGCCAGGCCAGCCCCAGCTGGAGCAGACCCACCGACCTCCATGGGCCGGACATGGCTGGGCAACCGACCGGACCCCTTCCTTTCCATGGGGGCAGATGGTGGCCTGAGCCCGCTGGCTTTACAAAGAGGGAGCCCATTTCAGGGGACTTTCCTCTCTTGCACTGGGCAGGCATTTCAGCGCATCAGGCCAAAGCATTCCAAAATTAGAGACAGAGGAAC